CTGTTCTGGGATGCTATCATTCCCACGATGTAACACGTGTGGCAATTGGACTCACGTGTTGCTTCATCTATCGTTTACATGGGGATTCCACTACAAACGTATTCCATGCACGTGATTCACACGCAGCACCGAATCACACTGCCATCATGTGGCGGCGCGGCAGGAGCGCTTCTCGTCTGAGTCAGGGGCTCGGGTGTCGGAAAAGCAATTTCCGGTCCAACCAATCACTGTGCGCCAGCCGAAGGTCTCGGTGGTGGCGAGGGATTAGAGACTTGGGAGAAAGGCGCGAGTGCGTATTTGTCGCTCGATGATTGGTCCTGTGGGATATATCATTTTACGCATGAACACTAGAACGATCCAGATTCGCCGCTCCGTGGGTGGAGCTATTCCATTGGTTGGCTGGCTGTGTTTGTCGGAGCCGAAGGCCGGCCGCGCCCCCCTCCTGGCCCCGCGTTGCGATTCTCCCACCGAGAGGTGGGCCGTGAGCCGGAGGATGCTGATCGGGCCGGCATGCGAGCGATCCACCGGAATCGAGAGCCGGGCACCGGAGCCCGAGCAAAGGCTGGCCGGGGTGTGAGCGCGCGCGACGGTGCTTTCATCATCCAGTGCACGCTGTTTGTGCCGTCGTCCCCTTGCCCCCTTCCCGGAAACTCCGCAGCGGTTGCCACCCCGCGCCCTGTAGCCCCCCATTTCGATGGCCTGTACTCCTCCGGTGGAGGGTGTGCTTCCGTCCGTGTGGCCAGCATGTCTGTTGGGTCCGTGGATGTGTATGTGTACGTGTGTGCGTGTGTACGTGTGTGCGCGTGTGTACGCGTGTGCGTGTGTGTGCGAGGCAGTTGCGCCTGGAGAGGCGGATATGCCTGTTGCCCCTCCGCTCTTTTCCTCCCGATGGCGCCATCACCCATGTGCCGAGTTCCGGGGCGCTTGGGGTTGAGCTATGCCACGCGGCACATGGCGCCCGGGTGGCCGGGTCTCCATTTCCATCGGTGCCGAGCCCCATTGGCTGTGTGCCCCCGCCTGCCCTCCCGGGGCCTGACTCCCGCTTGCCGAAAGGGCTAGCCAATGGGACCGGCCCAGTGTCTGCGATTGGGGCGGGAGGGGGCTGCGGCAGGACGGGTGACATGGCTCCCTGCCTAGCCCCATGAGAGCATCTTTCGCCTCTCGCACGCCTCTCTGCCGAAGATCTCGGGCTGGATCGCCGGCCGTTCATGGCCTACCCGGAGGGCGATCTGCCCGCCACCTCCCCGGCTACTCTGGGTCCATGGGCGTCAGATGGCGAGGGCCATCCGGTCGATCGTGCCCGGCGGCCGAGTATCCATGTCGCCCAGCTCGGAGGCCCGAGGCTATAAAAGGCCCTCACCCCGGGCCACAGCCAGAGCATGCAGCCATTCCCCCAGACAATCCTCCCTCCCTCTCTACCTGCATGCCCTGTACTCCATTCGCTCCCCCGTCGAGTGCCTGAGAGCTCCCACCAGCGTCCAGTGCCTCTACCCACTTCGCCTGCTTCGCCTACTTCGCCTACTTCGCCTACTTCGCCTACTTCGCCTACTTCGCCTACTCCGCCACTACACGGGCCACCGTTACACCGCCTCCTGTTCCAGATCCTCGTCCTCTTCCCCTGAGGCCCTTGTATCCTCGTACGTCCCTGCATTCCGCCTCGCCTCCTCTTCGGGGCCCCTGCTGTCACTCAATGGTCGCCTGGTAAAATGGGCAGCAGCGCGTCACCGCCACAAACACACTCCGAGAGACCTCCATGCTGACCCATTGTCAAACGGTGTCAATCCCCCGTCCTTACGGGCATTGCTGGCCGATCGCGGTTCCTT